GTGGAGCAGCAGAGGAGGAGACAACAGCTCGGATTTAACACGAAGGACTAAACCGAATTTTCGTCTTCCAAGATCACGATGAGTTGATACGGATTGACTCCTTCTTGACAGAGAGTATTTTGAATAAGAACAGTAACAAGCATTGTCGTCCTATAAATTTAAGATTTATTTCAAATAAATGCATTATTTTAAATCGACCTTTAATATTTACGACTCCAATGAGATATCGACTAAAAACGCTTTGGTGTCAAGGAGAATGGATGCGTAGAACAAGTCCAAGGCGAGACTTGCACCCGAGTCATTGAGGTATGACATTACTGTAATATGTTATGAGCTGAACCAACTGTGTTTTATATTTTAAAAATACACCCGATGCATCTATGTTAAACCAAAATCCGCATAATTCTTACCCAGTTTTAGCGATTTTGAATTGGTTAACACCCAACACAATGTCGACTTGTACATGAGCTTGCGCCTATTGAAAGGCCACTTTTCGCTGCAAATGATGATTACAGAAGGAAACATTATGGTCAAACCTGGAGTTTTAAGTGATAGAAACGACAGTTCGACCTTTACTACGTGTCCAAGACGACGACGCCGATTTGAGTTGTTTCCGTATTTGGTGCCGGTGTTCGGATGCTCCCACTATACGGGGCTTTTAATAGACTTCTTGGCCCCTGGTTTTAACCCTGGGTAAAGGTTAAACTGCCCGCTATGTCCGGGGGGTCGGGGCCCCGGGGTTTCAATTGACTGATGCATTACTCGTAAATTAATTAAAAGTGAAAGTTTGATTGTCCATAACATTATTACTTATGTCCAGTGTTTAGGGTTTTAAAAATAAATTATTCCGTGTGTTTAGTTGTTCGCCAATAGCTGTTTTGTAACTATTCGATGATTTGTAAATAGAACATTATTATTATTATTATTCATCGGTAGATGCAGTAATAAAGTGTATTATCGTTTGTCTCACGATGTAGTCACTTGAGATGTAGATCGCGACG